AATGGTTTTAGTCAACGGACAAGCAATTGGTGTTACTCTAATCAGCCTTGTCTTTCATGGAGTCATGTTAGCAGCCGTCATTAAACAATGGAGAGTTGTGCTTAACATTGGTACAATGGTTTTTTCCCTTGGAATAGTGTTTTCTTTAATGGGAATTGTGTTGGACTCCAAAAAATTTCTCGATACCAAGGGTCCTGCTACAGAAGAACGAGAAAACTTATTCATTGTGCAGACAATTATCTTATTTACTGCGTTATTCATCAATGGATTTTTAGCTGTGCTTCTTGCAAGATATTCAGTTGGATTGGCCAGAACTTCAAAGGCCAAAAGCTTTGATTCAAAACCTTTTAAAATGTAAGCTCTATCCATGTAAACAGTGGATCATCTCATGTAATTTTATTGTTTTGTTGTAAACCGTTTATAAATAGAATTATTTTTTTTACAAAAATTTAATTTGCTTGCAATCAAGATTTTAAATTTAGTGAATCTAATTAAATTTTTTTACATTTACTGATTTAGTTTCAATATGTGCCCATGATTTCAATCTTTCATTTTTTTATTTTCTTAACACTGCAAGCTAAGCTGTTCATCAGCAGGAGTAAGAATAAATATTTAATTTTTTGACTTAAATTATTGTATGGATTGTTCAGTTAGCGTTTTTGGTAATTTTTTATTAGAAATTTTAATGTAGATTGACTATATTGTGATACTTAATGAAATGAAACTTGTGATTTGATTTTGATTTGCAGCAGTCACTAGTAAATTGGTGTGACCTTTGCTTCATACATTTATGTATTTCCTTGAAGAGGGCGTTTAACTGTTTAACAGATTCATTTTAATAAAAAATAAATCAATATTGAAATGAACTCCTCAGAAATCAATCGAAATAAGTCAAACAATGATCAATCGCAAGTTATAATAACACCTCAAAATAATGCATGATTTTCACTTCTGCGAAGCTTAAAATCAGAATAAAAACTAACCTAATCACGTTGATTACCCATGTAGATTTAACTTAGTCAGTCATTTGTAATCGACAATTAATTTTTAGCACAATTACAATTCATATTGGACCTTAATTCTCAGAATTCCATCATTTCAATGCGTCATCTCCTGATTAATCACGAGTTGACTCCCCAAAATAATGTAAAAGTTTTTTAATCATGCAAAGGTTAGTATCAGAATGGAGATCAACTTGGTTAGATTTGAGTTGTTCACTTGTGTTTGAGTAATGTATGTGTTATACAATAGATCAACTGATCATTAAAACCAGAAACTCGTTAAGATTAGATTTCTGCTTTATTAAGCCTTAATCAAAGTCTAAACTCCATTGCCATGCATTGTTATTACATTTAGTATATAAATCATTCATTTGCTATTCTGCTCCTCTAGTGATTCCTCAAAAAGTTATTTTCAATTTTCATTGCTAAGGAGGACCTGCAAATGAATAGGGAAAATCTCCTCTCAGGATATTTTTATGAAATGAACTTTTTTTGATGTAATTTTTTATGCTGATTCCGAATATCTGTTTCTTTTTTTATTAAAACAAGGCATTCGAAAGGAAAGTTCATATTATGATTCGAAGGTTGCATTTTTAGCACGTTAAAAGAGGTTTCTAAGCCAGTCGATTCTATTCGTGATCTATGTTATCAAGCATGCTGAATAATATAGTGAAGGTTTGGTTCCTGAAAAAATAGCCAAACAGGGTTAAAATTGCAAAAAAACAGATTAAAATATCGATTTATTAGTGAAGCTTTTAAACATAATGAAGATGCCGTCTAAGCCAGCTGAATATTGACATAATCAATGTAATCGAGCATGCTGAATAATATAGTGAAGGTCTGGTTCCTTAAAAAATAGCCAAACAGATTGAAAATTGCAGAAAACTGGATTTCGTTAGCTTTTACTAAATGTCAATGCAACACCCTGTTTGGCTATTTTTTCAGGAACCAAACTATATTCATATTATTCAGCATGCTCGATTACATTTATTTTGCGAAGATTCAGCTGGCTTAGACGGCTTATTCATGATTTTCAATAAGACGCTTATTAATCCCTGTTCAAATTCAGTTTTTTACAATTTTAACCCTGTTTGGCTATTTTTTAAGGAATCAGACCTTCATCATATTATTCAGCATGCTTGATTACATTGATTATGTCAATATTTAGCTGGCTTAGACGGCATCTTCATTATGTTTAAAAGGTCACTAATACTATGTGATATTTAGATATTTTGGCCGATATCTCAAAAACTATGCATGCTATAAAAAAATAGATTTAATTTATGAAATTGTCATTAAATTTCGTGTCTGAAAAGTAACATTTCAAAAAAAATCGAAAACAGGCGATTTTGCAGGTCCTCCTTACCTGTGATATTTAATTCAACACCAATTGTAAATGTACAAACCAAACATGAAAGGTACAGAGGACAAGATGGTGTACCAAGGAACCAGTTCTGCAAAAAAGTGGTTGATAAGAATTTACAGTTTTGGCGCTGCATTGAATGTCATCGCCTTGATCGTAGCAGTGACTTCAGCAAGTGGATCAGCAATTGGTCTGACTATTATTGGTCTGGTCATCAATGGAGTCACGTTAGCGGCAATCGTTAAACAGTGGAGAGTTGTTCTTGTCATTTGTCAAATTATCCTGTTTATTGGAATCGGGCTCAGTGGAATCGTAATTTTTATTGGAGCTCTCCTAATTGGTGCTTTTGCTAATGATTACACAGAAGAACAAAAAAGCTTAATGTTTACGAACATAATTTTTTTGAGTGTTACGTTTGTCTGGAATGTATTTTTGTTCGTGATTTTTAGAAGATATACTAATGAATTGGCCATTACGGGTAATTTAATCTGATTGGCTGTAAACGCATAACAGTTTAAATTTTAACAAAACCATAACGATACAACGATAACGATTTATCGATTAAATGAATATAACGATAAAATCGATACAATTTTCGAGTTGTAAGTTTCGGTGAATTTGTGGCCTGGTATTTCAAGAATGGTAAAACTGATAGTCGTCGTACTTTCAACAATTATTGCACCGAGGTATTCAGCTAAAATTCACCGCTGTTTGCAGTTATAACTCTTGAACTTGTGTAAATACAGTAACGAAAATTATACTGTTTATTTTTGACGAAAATCAGAATACGTGGCTCTCCAACTGTCAAAAATAGACAAAAAGAGTTTCGTGCCTGTAGGGCCGAAGGTTCAAGAGTTAAAATTGTTAGATTTAAACCAATTCATTAATGTTGATTCATAATATAAGTACATTATACAATGGATCTACTGCTCAATGAAACCAGAAATTTGTTTAGATTAGATAAAAAATTGAGTAGATTTCTTGGATAAAATCTTGATCCTGGTCTAAACTCCATTTCTATACATGGTTATTACATTAAGTATATAAATCCTGCATTTGTCATTCTGCTTCTCAAGTGATTGTTTCAAGAAGTTATTTTAATTTTCATACATCAGTACATATACAGTATTTGTTAGTAGCTCAACATCAAGCTGAATCTACAAACGAACCATGAATAGTACAGAGATTGAATGGGAGGACCAAGGTTGTGGTACTCTAAAATCGTGGTCAAAAGGGACTTTCACTTTCCTCGTTGGATTGAATATCATCGCATTGAGTGGAGCAATGGTTTTATTCAATGGACAAGCAATTGGTATTGCTCTAATCAGCCTTGTCTTTAATGGACTCATGTTAGCAGCCGTCATTAAACAGTGGAGAGTTATGCTTAACATTGGTACAATCGTTTTTTTTCTTGGATTAGTGTCAACTTTAATGGGAATTGTGTTGGACACCAAAAGATTTCTTGATACCAAGGATGCTACTGAAGAACAAAAAAGCTTATACACTGTGCACATAGCTATCTTATTTACTGCGTTATTCTCCGCAGGATTTTTGTTCGTGCTTCTTGGAAGATATTCAGTTGGATTGGCCAGAACTTCAAAGGCCAAAAGCTTTGATTCAAAACCTTTTAAAATGTAAGCTCTACCCATGTAAACAGTAGACCATCACATGTAATTTTATTGTTTTGTTGTAAACACATAACCGTTTATAAATAGAATTATTTTTCTTACAAACCATCATTTCCCCCTACCATGATCAATTTCTCAGTAACCTGGATTCTGATTAATCTTTTACTATTTTCGGACTTTTAGTTCAACCATTGCGATAATATAAATGTAGATTGACTATATCGTGTTATTTAATGGG